CACTTAACGTAATTTCACCCGCCCAGAAGCCCCACGAAATAGAGGTTGTCATCTCATTTTAAACAAACCACTAAAGCTTTGGGAGGTTAAGTAACTAGTCCCAAATGATAACCTACTATTTTTAAAGGGCTGTTTTTGAGCCCTTATCTGAACTCTAAAGGTTAGAGGTTAAGCTCTTTTCACACTAACTGCAGCCTCTGTTAACTAAAGAATTAAGAGTTTTCGTGCAGACTACAGGCATACCTCTGAGATGCTGTGGGTTCAGCTCCAGACCAAAGCAATAAAGTGACCACTAAAATAAAGTGAGTAATAATCTTTTGGCTGGTGGAGGATCCTGCGTTCAATTTTTTTTTTTAAGCAACATCTGGGAAGCCCAATGAAGCGAAATGCAATAAAATAAGTATGTTTGTGTTATAAAATCCTATCAGTAGTCCTAGCTGGTGTGGCTCAGTGGATTGAGTGCTGGCCTGCAAACCAAAGGGTCGCTGGTTCGATTCCCAGTCCAGGGCACATGCCTGGGTTGCAGACCTGGCGTGGGGCGTATGAAAGTTAACCATACATTGATGTTTCTCTCCCTCTATTTCTCCCTCCCTTCTCCTCTCTAAAAATAAATAAATAAAATCTTTAAAATAAGAACAAAAAACCTATCAGTAGCCTCCAAAACAATAAGGACTGGCAGGAAAAGTTTCTTGGGCTAGAAACCAGAAAACATATTTTTTTAACATGTAGGGCAACAGCTTAACATCCCCTAGGAACTACAGGCAAGGGGAAGTTGTAAGTTGGCCAAAAATACAAAATAAAAACAGCCAATAAATACACACCGCAACTGCACCATAATAAACAAAGAAATGGAAATTTAAAATCTAGTTGTCATTTTTCACCAAATTGACAAGGAAAATGTTAACCTGATTAGGATTCTTCGAAGTTTGAAGTGGACGAGGGACAGGGACACTTTCATATACCACTACTGGGAAAGTAGATGACAGTTACTGCTAAGGTACCAGAGATTGTATCCAGAACATGCTGCATGTGCACACATCCTCTGATGTGCATTTATCCTGTGTCGCTAATCACTGGATAAATTGAGTGTGCAAACGAGTACTCATCCCGTATGGCAGACTAGAGACTGCAGGTCTCCCACAAACTCCAAACGCAGGGAAATAACTAAGTCCCGGGATAGCACCCCCATGGACTACTAAGTTTTCATGAAAAGTAATGCAGACTTTGTAATATCTATGAAAATTTTAAATGCACATACCTTAGTAGAAAATTTGATATAATTTAAGTGACTATCAATACGGTATTGTTTAAATTAAGGTGTTCCCATACAATGGGTGACTCAACCATTCAAAAGAATTAACTCCGTATGGAAAAAAACTAACTCATCCAAAAGACTCAGTAGGTGAATAAAGAAAGTACAAGTACTGCTACCACTTGTGAGGAAAGAAAAAACTGAGAAATACGTTTCTAGAGACACACTGTGACTACTAAGACACTGGTAACAGCTGCTGTAGGAGAAAAACAACTGGGCAGCAGGGAACATGGTGGGAAGGAAACAGGCTCCCCACAGCTGTACCTCTGAATTTCCTACTGTGCGCTTCTTTGTCTTATCTGTCCTTTTCTGTACCTTTCAAACTCTCTGCAATGAAATACATTACTTCTACAATCAGATTACAACATTACTTACATTGTTGCGGGCGGGAGGGGCCAGGTGCATTCATTACGGGACATACCATATACAGCATCAGTGTAAGAGGAGAAAATTCCTATACAGATGGCATATTTTTGTAAAAGAAAACACTGAAACGATAACCCAGGAACAAACCTAATAGTTACTATAGAGCTGGATATAATGGGTGCAAGGAAAACTCAATGTCTAAGCTTCTCTTCATAGTGTTGACCACTGAACACTGGCAAAACGTACCTGAAGAATAAGGTAAATCAAAAGAGGAAGATATCATCCAACTGGAAACAAACAAATTGAAAAAATGAGCCTGCTGTGTAGCAAAGGGGACGCCACTCAGAGAAAATAATTAAACTCGAACTGCATGTGTGTATTCTGACCCTGTCACATGTGAGGGATATAGTCGAAGAGTAAAAAGAAATCCAAGCCTAGAACAGGCAGAAGAAACGGAAAGGAGGCTTGTGGTCGCCAGGGGCTTGAGGGGGGACAGGAAATGAGAACTGACAGTTAGGTGTCAAGTGTCTTTTTCGGGTAATGAAAATGTTCTTTAGTTAGATAGGTGTAAAGGTTGTACAACTTGGTGAATATACAAAGAACTATTGGACCATACCATTTACAAAGGTGAATTCTCTGGTATGTGAATTATGTATCAATAAAGCTACTTTAAAAAGAATTACAAAGAAATCTTAACTTTAATATTTAAAGTTATTTAACAGGAATACTGGTATTATATTTTTTAAACTTATTTTGTGTTCATTTTAAGACAAAGCATAAAATTGATGTTATTGTAAGGAGACTTTTTAGTAAAAGAGGGAAATAGAACTAAAACGAAAAGGCCCTGTGATATTACATTTATCTGGATATTTTTGAAATGAACTTGAACTATCTACTTCATGGACATAGGTGTGCTTCCTCCCTTAGCTCTGTCCTCTGAGGAGGCCTAGAAACAGTGTCACCAAGCCGCAAAAAGCACACCGAGTGCCCAGACCCCGGGTCAGAATTCCATTTCCCCACAAAGGCAGCAAGGCCCCTGGAGGAATGGCAGGTCTGGGCAGGATGCAAAAGGTGAACCAAATCAAGCACTCAGGTGAGACATGCCCCCAGGATGCAGGAGCCCTCCCCAGCCAAATCTGGGATAATTTCAGCACAAAAAGAATAAAGACTGAGTTGATGACATACAAAGTAAACACAAATCCTTAACTCGGTAGTGAATACTGAAAAGAAACAGAGAGAGACAGACCAAAACCCCCTCTTTAAAGAAGAAGAGTAGTAAATGTATAAGCAGCAAAAGAATGAAATAAGTACGACTTTGCAAGAATCAATGAAATGTGCACAAATGTGAAGCTCACCAAAGGATGCTCAAACTTCAGGGCAGAAGGCTGTTGGGAACAAGACACAGACTTGACACATATTGTAGGTTCTTAATATTCATGAAAAAGAAATAAACGTGTGTACAGCAGAGAGATGTTATCACCATCCCCTAGCCAAGCAGTGAACCTTAACATCACAAAGACTGCGGGCCCCAAACTGTGGCCGAAGCCTGCAGTGTGCAGCACACAGCACCTCCAGGGAGTGTTTCCCCCAAGCAGGTTTAACCTGAATTGAATCAGCCTGGAGCCCTCACTTCCAGTTACAGGAACTACCGGAGATAGAAAAACAAGTTAAACGACGCCACAAAGAAAGGGACAAATCCAAAATGTGGGTGTTCAAGAAAAATGGCCCGGTTTCTGCAAAAAGTCAACGCCACAGGGAAAATAAAAATAGAGAGACAGTTGTAGAGTAAAAGCCTAAACAGAACAGTGGAATACTGTTCAGCTTTAAATAACAAGGAAATCCTGTTAGACTCCGCAACACAGATGAACCTTGAGGACATTATGCGAAGGGAAACAGGCCAGTCACAAAATGGCAAATGTATGATCCCACTTATATGAAGTACCTAGAGCAGCCAAAGTCATGGAAACAAAGCAGAATGGTGGTTGCGGGGTGCGGGGGGCGGGGGGGCGGGAGGGGAGGAGGGAATTGAGGACATGTTACAATGGGTGTAGATTTCAGTTTTGCAAGATAAAAAGCTCTGGAGATCTGTTACCCAACAATGTGAACATAATTACCAACACTAAACTGCACACATAAAATGGTTAACACAGTAATTTTATCTTACGTGTTTTTTACCACTATTAAAAAAATTTTTTTTAAAGCCTAAGAAGATACAACATTCAAATACAACAAGTAAACCTTGATTGGATCCTGGTTAAAAAATAAAGCTGGAGAAATGGAAATAATGATTAGATAATTGATGATGTTAAGAAATTATTGCTAATTTTTTAGGCATTTGGGCTACATAGGAAAGCATCCTTATTTTTAGGAGTTTCATGCAGAAGAGAATTCATGATGACTGAACGTCTTTTCTAATTGTTCAACAGCAATAACGAAAGGTGTGTGTACGTGTACACACACATATACACATCACAAATGCAGTCAGCACTCCGACATAGAAAAAGCGGCAAATATGGAAAAATAGTAACAACTCTTGAATCTGCATGGTATTTAAGTATTTCTTTTCATTCTTCTGTATGTTTCAAAGTTTGTATAAGATAATATTAGCCATTTCTATTTATGAAAAGTACATAAAGATTATTTGTGAGGAGCACTCCCATTTTGGTTTATTCTAAATCTGGTGGGAATAGCTTTAGTGTTTGGGTATTTAGGTGATGAAGGTCTCATTACTATCCTTGTCAATTATATTTGGCATTATAGGCCCAAAGATAAAGGAAGATCAAACTGTTAAGTGTTCTATTAATGAGCTTATTTTCCATTCATACGGAAATCCACATGGCAGTCTGCATTTCCACAGCACAAACACATTTTTCAGGCTGGTTAAGAAACCAGCAAGCAGCAAAGATCAAACCAACCAACCCAAAGCTACACTAGATAAGGAGGGAGCCGTGTTGGGACAGGGTGAAAAGGGGGCGGGGGGAGGAATCTGGCAACATAATTCAAAATATTAAACTGTTATAAATGGAAGAGGGAAGAAGGTGTGAACCTTGGAATGCCAAACGAGGAAGGCAGAAGTCCAACAAAAAAGCTGACAGAAAACAGTGGAGGGACACACAAGAATAGAGAACAGGAAAGAGAAAAATACCCCTGTGTGCTTTTAAGACCAAAAAAAAAAGAAGAGTAATTTAAACTCCAAAGCAGGAGAAGCCCGTTAGGGACCTGGGGAAGGGGCAGCCAGGGAAGCAGGGAATCAGAGATGTGGGGTCTCTGACGCAGGCTCAGCAAGCTGGCAGCAGCACAGGCGCTACAGAAAGCTCATTACCTTAATAGTGATGGAGTTTTTCAGGGATTTGGACATTTTTTCTTCTTTGCCTTTCACATGCAAATGTCCTGAAACAAAAACAAAATCATTCATTCTGATTTGGGTGAAAAGAGAGGGACTCCTCCGTGCCAGCTGTAGAGGTGAAGAAGGTGAAGTGGGCGCTCCTCCAGCACGTGGCCGAGCCACAGGACGTAGGCTGCAGCTGCCTCGGGAGCACGAGGGAAATGGGAAATGCTGCCTTCTCCAATGTGCAAACACCCCTGTATATGTGGATATAAGATCCCCCCCAAACCCCAAGGCGGAGCCTCCGGGACGATGGAACCCATGGCTGTGCCAGTTCGAGGTGTCAGGTGCACCCGGCCCCACAGTGGCCACTGAACAGGAATCACTGTGGACTCTGAACTTGGACAAGAACAGATGAACTGTGACACAGAAACAGTTCACACTTTCCCCTCATCTGTAACTCTGAACAACGATTTAACTGACTTAACACCTGAAGAAATGACAAATCTCTGGTTTTACAAACCAGGCACTGGGCAATAAAAGCTTGTTTACAGATGTTCAGAATTGCAGAGCAGGGCTTGCATGATGAATTCGATTTTCTGTTGCTAATGGATTTCACAGATTTATCTCTACCTTGGTAAATTTCACCCCCATGTCGCAAAAGACCAGAGGAAAACCAAACCTTAGGAACTTCCCATTACAAGCCTGGAATTCTCCCTGGGCTGTATTTTTACAAGGCTCACTTCAAAGGAAGGGCCCCTCCTTTCCTAACAAAAATCTTCAGCTTTTTCTGACATGACTTTAAACATAACAATTGGTTTCAAGACCAATTTTTCTGAGAACTGGTTAAAATATGTCTTCCAAAAAGAAATATCTATGTAATACTATATAACATGTCATATACAACAAGCACAATGACAATTTTTCAAAGCTGACAATATCTGAAAAATGACACACCTGACTAGTGAACGCTATCTTCCATCCGTTACTTCAGAAAAATGTATTAATATAAAGACATGGAAACCTAAGTGTCCTTCGATGGATGATCAGATAAACAAGATGTGGTACATACATACAATGAAATATGACTTAGCCATAAAAAGGATAAAACATTGCCATTTGCAACAACATGGACGGATCAGGATCAGTACCATGCTAAGTGAGCTAAGTGATGGGAAAGGCCAAGACCCATGTGATTTCACTCATACGTGGGGTATAAAACAGAGAATGAACAATCTCATAGACAGACAACAACAGTGTGATGTTTACCAGAGGAAAAGGGGAGTAGGAGAAGAATGAAGAGGGTAAAGGGGGTCAAATATATGGTGACAGAGACTAGACTTTGGATGATGAGAACACAATACAATATATAGATGATCTATTATAGAATAGTATACTTGAAATATTAAGAGTCAAATGCCTTAACAGGTGGTAAAAGTCATAATAAAACACAGCAACAAAACCCCTTTTCCATTCCCACATTTAAAGGTAAACAAGGCCTACTGTTTTATGACCAAAGATCTCATTATTAAGTGTGGGTGTTAGTACTGTTGAGTTACCTTTTTGATCCCTAGATCCACAAGTCACTGAAGGGCACCCTGCATTTCACGGTGTTCACAGCACATCATCAGTTCATCAAGAGCATTAACTGGTGAAGCCCTAACTTCCCAGCGAGTAAATATGGTGGAAGTAAAAATCTGAACCAGGATCGTCAGGCTTTTGCCCTTCTATTTAGGGAATCTGCCCAGCAAGGCACATTGTTGGCAGAAATACAGTGGATTTTGGCCACTGCTGAGTTCTCTCCAGGGAAATGAAGTGGAATACTTGGTAACAAACAGCGCACATGCCTTACAGAGCATTTCAGCCAGTTTTGTTTCTTTTCAGGCTACCTGAAGGCAGTACAGAAAGGAACTGGTCATTGCAGAGGAGATGCTTGCTCCTGGGGTGGGGCACCCCAAGAGCACAGAGTGAGGGTGGGAATGACTCTAGAGCAGAGGAGGCACCGCAGTAAGTGCGCTTCCGGGCAGGCAGCGGCATCAGTCCACGGCCATGAAGGGAGGCCACGTGAGCCTTTCCTCCAGACTGCGAGCAGCCTCCTGCATATTATAAAACTGGAGTGTCTCTGCATTTAACATTATTCACTGGAAAAACCCAAGTTCCTTCATTCCAGGGCTTAAAGAAGTAGTATTTGCTAATGCACTATGTTTTAGATGTTGATTATCTGCATCTCCCAACCCTATAGCTACCAAACACCCTCTATCTTTCTTCACCCCAAATACCTTAGCTGTCCCTTCTGAAAAGGTAATAAAACCAGTCTGTCATTGCCCCATGACCTTTGTCAAAATCTGGACATAGGAATCATCCCATGCATCAAAGGAAATTCCAAAATTGCTATGCTCAAGGATGTTGCTGGTTCCAGGATGTACTTCTGAGAACAGATGGCTGGTGTTAACCAACTACATTTTTTGAATAGTAAAATGAGAGGCAATGGTATTACAGGATGACAAATATATATGGCAACAATATTATATCGTAAAATTGGCATATTCATAACAATGTTCACATTATACTATTTGAACTTCCTTAATAGTTTTATTAGAAAGAAACTTATATACAACAGCACTGTAAAACATTTTCCATATTCTCGTCATTCATATTTCAGTTCCATAAAGGTAGACTCATTCCCATCCAAAGAAGTTTGTATCCAACTGACTGAAATTCAAAAACGGTTTAGGAGGAAACTCTATTTCTTGGCATATTTTAGCTAATCTATGTATTTCCAAATGTAGCTGTTTTGCCAATAAAAGATGAAATTGACAGAACTGAAATAATACAAATTAATGTACAATCATTACTTACCAGAATGTAGAAAATAATTCCCCCATTGCTGGCACTGATGGAAGACCTCACACTGTGCGATCTCATTTTCATGATGCGGAAATGCTAGGTCTATCCCACCCGAATGGATATCCAGTTGACTTCCAAACACCAAACTGCAAGACACAGCACAAAGCCATGAATAATTCAATCAAACAACGTGTTTCTCCAAACCACATCTTATATTCAATCCTTCCAGCTTTTGGGCAATGAATAAATTAAATGGATCCCAGTTTTAAATCAATACGTGTGAAAATTTAACTGATGCAAACAAAAACTAAAATTCTGTTTTTACTTCTTAACTCCTTCATCCACAGATTTTTCTCCTACTAAAGACACTTAATTCATAAAATTCCTAATTCATAGCTTTCCTTCCTAGTAAAAAAATTTAATTCTCTTTGCTCCAGATATACAGTTTGGATATATGTAAAGTAACTAATTACTATGGTTTTTAAAAACAAAATTACCTTTTCTTACTTTCAATAGGAAAAATTTAGTGGATTTCCAACTTTAACAAGAGAGACAACTATAAAATCAAGAGAATTTTTAATGTGACTTTTGAAAATTTAACTATTAAATGCTCATATTTGAAAAACACATTAATAGAGTTCAAATTATTGCACTTCAGCTGTCGACATTTCTGCTATAACACTATGCTATACATCCTGGAAAACCTCATGTCCTGCACAACTGCACACTATAACTCAGCGGACTGATGGGGACATTGAAGCTGGCCAAACCACTCAAAGCCTGTGCAACTCTCACCAAAGCACCTGTGAAAACAACCCATAGTAGTGTGAACAATCCAGGTTCACTAGCAGCTGCTTTGGAAGATATTAAAAATGCAAAAATCTGCCCTGGCTGGTGTGGCTCAGTGGAATGAGTGCCGGCCTATGAACTGAAAGGTCACTGGTTTGATTCCCAGTCAGGGCACATGCCTGGGTTGCGCGCCAGGTTTCCCCGGTGAGGGTGTGCAAGAGACAACTGATCAATGTCCGACACTGATGTTTCTCTCCCTCTCTTCCCCTCTCTAAAGAAAAAATAAATAAAATTTTTAAAAATGTGAAAATCTATTAAAAATGCAACAATCAGCACACTGGAAATCCTGGTTTGTGGGGCTCGGGTGATGAGGCCACCTCCCCCAGCAGATAGCGAGGCTGCCAAGCAGACCACAGTGAATTTTCTAAAAGTGGTTCAAAAGAGACATTTTCAAAAGTGCTGAGGTCCCTTCTGCTGAAGGCTGACTCTTGCACTGGCCCTCTGGCTCCTGGAAAACCCACACAGGTACCAGTCACACTGTAGCTAAGTGGTGATAGTCACACTGTGGCTGAGTGGGTTCTGTCACTGCACATTCTTAGTGATGGGTTTCAGGGAATCTCTTACAGTCCTTGAAATTCAAATGCTATGAAGAAAAGTATGAGGTGGGAGGGACTGGGACTGGGCAGGAAAGTATAAGGGGCCTCATTTGTAATGAGTGATTCATTTTTACAAGGCTCTGAAGCAGATATGGTGATGTTAAGATTTAATAAAGTTAGACTGTGGGTCCACAGGGTTCATTTTATTAGTCCCTATTCTTGTCTGCACATTAGACCTATTTTAAAATAAGAGAAAGCTGAGGAGGAATAAAAGTCTATTTTCATTATTTATATTTCAACAAAATAAAATATTTAATGGTAACATTAGATTTGAAATTAGATCTGCTTTAAAGTAACTAATTGAATCTAAAATTAAATATATTTTTATTAACAATCCAATGTATTCCCACATGCCGTTAAACAATTTATAAATACATATAAGTGGTTATGTATTCATGCATGACTGAGAGCTGCATACAGTTGCTTGTTTGATTTTAATGCACAGCTGGACTCATGCTTCATAGTAACACAGAGTTTGATGTGTCAGGAATTTAGACGCGTTTCTAGACGGGCCACGTAGAAATCATCAGAGGTGAGGGCAGCAGCGGGAGACGTGGTGGAGAGGGAGAAGGCCTTCTGGATCTTAACCAGAATGAACGCAATTTGGGTGGACAGAGCATGGAGGACGAGGCTCTTCTACCTGGAAGAATGGCGTACGTCTATGTGGGGCTGAAAATGCAGCCAGTGTGGGGCCAGTGCATGGGACAGAGTGCTCTGATAGGAGGTTATTGCCCCTGCTAATACCTACATTTATACCCAGCCAGAAAACAGCACCACATACAATAATTCGAGGGTAGATTGGGTTGGGTGATCTGAAAATTTCTGGTGTAGCTAGTAGTTTGAAATGTTTACCTTAAGCATACTTTCTTTGTTTCTAATTTTAAAAACATTATAACTCCACTGAAAAAGAAAAAGTACTATAATAAATATCTGCAATGAACTGAAACACATCAAATATATCAAAATCTGAGTTAATATGATACTTAAAAACTCCTTACCCTCACAAACAAGAAATACATACACAAGGTATTTGTAAGAGCAAAATACTGGGGACATCTAAATGCTCCTCCTTTGGGTACTGGCTACGGGAGCAACGGTTATGCCACACAGTGCAGCACCACGGAGCCAGGAGACGAATGATGAAGAGCTCGGAAAACTGACAAAAGGGAATTCCCGGGAGAAACTGCTAAGTGAGAAGAGACAGAAGAGGACAGCAGTGCAGAGGACACAGACACACACACACACAGACACACACACACACAGACACACACACACACAGACACGTGCGCGCGCGCGCGCACGGGGCGGGGGTTGGTGGCAGGCGTGCATCTGGCCACGGGCAGAACCAAGGGGAGTGCCAAAGCGACAGTCTGCAGAGGAGGTCAAGCAGAAGGTGGATGAAGCCCCAGCAGAGACACCACAATCAGAAGAGAGTTGTTTCACAGAGGCCAAGGGGAAAGCAGGGGCACCAGGCTGCCTGTCACTGACCTGGTCACTGGTGACTTCAGGAGATCAGGGTCAGTGGGGACACCTGGGTTGAAAGCCAGGCACTAGCAGGTCACATGTAGATGGCAACAAGAGAAGCAAACAAAAAAGAGGGTTGCTGGGGGGGATCAGGGTCAGAGGACGACCTGTGTTTCTGGAGATTCCCAAGGCAGAAGCATCCTGAGCGTGGTGTGCCAGGGTGAGGGCTGGTGGAAAGGGCAGGTGGAAGGCTGAGGAGCCAGCCAGGTGGAAAACGGGGCTGATGCTCAGTGGACTCCGATCCAGGTTCGGGGGTAAGGGTATGTGGACGGAGGCAGTGAGAAAAAGGCGGGGCGTTCAGTCTCCTATCCTTGAGGGGCTCTGCCCTCACCCAGGCTCTCAGCAGCGGGGTTGGTGTTCCCTAAACCCACCTCGGCAGAGATAAAGGCAACCTGTGACTGGCCTGTAGGTGATGGGAAATCAAAAACAACCATAATTTGCTGTGTATAATTCACTGTGTATAATGCGCACCCATGTTTTTGGCCCAAACTTTCAAGAGAAAAATCTTTTAATTATTTAATTCAGTGTTTTATTTTATTTAGATACACATTTTTTGCATTATAAAGGAATGTTAGCATTTATTCTTGAACATATTACAGTACACGAAATTTTATGTAACAAATAATTACAAAACACAAGAACAGATACAAGGTATTTCATGTACTATCCATATATAACGCACATCCTTATTTTTCCCTCAAAAATTTGGGCAAAAGAGTGTGCATTATACACAGCAAAGTGCAGTAACTCATAAAGCAGGCTTTCCTACTAAAAAGAAAGATAAACATACCATGTTTTGTCACCCCTACCCCTTTTAAATATGTTTATTGATTTTAGAGAGAGAAACATCTAACAGCCACTCCCTATTCACACCCCAACCAGGGACTGAACCTGCCACCCAGGCAAGTGCCCCCATCAGGAATCAAACACCACAACCCTCAGGGGTCCAGGACCATGCTCCCACCAACCAAGCCACAAGCCGGGGCTTGTTTGCCTTCTTACAGCCAGTCTCAACTGAGCACTAAGCTTTCTTTCCAAACTACCTCCACTTTGTATTGCATTGGTGCAGACTGAACTTGCCCCATCTGCGCCCTCTGCTGACCAAGTCAGGCATTCCTGGAGCTTTCACATCACAAACTTAAGAAGAATCCGGGGAAACCCTTACCTTGAGATGGTAGAACATTCAATATGCCAGCCAGGTCTTCCATTTCCCCAAGGAGAGGCCCAAAACATCTCCTGGGGCTTAGCTGCCTTCCACAGGGCAAAGTCGTTGGCATGCCGCTTGTCAGAATCACCTGCCAATAACAAACTGTTGATCAAAGGGGGAGAACCTAGAATGAACAAACCAAACCAAAATCTCACAAAATTAAAGCACTCCCCAAAGATTCTGTTCCTTCTTATAAGTAACCTCACATTTCTCACTCATATGTTTTTCCTTCCCCACGTGATGGCTAGAATGACTACTAAATACTTTTTATCTAATATACGCCAGGAGTATGAGGTCTATCAATGGTGAGGCCAGTTTCAATAATTTGAATAAGGACTGAACTGAGATTTCCAATACACACATAATGTTTCTCTGTGAGTACTGTACCGAACTGAGCACTTTCATTCTTCCTTAGTCTGTGTTGTGAGAAAGCTGTATTTATCAGTTACTGAATTTGAGTAACTTTTCAAAAGAAAAAATAGAGACCAAAAAGGAAAATTACCAGAATACCAATCATGTTCAAAGAATAAAGAGACTCAGAAGAGAAAGGTTCGGTTATTGTCAAAGGTCGTACAATGAGCCGGTACTGGGCTCTCTTTAAGTTCCAAAACTTGGAAGCAAACAAGATCTCCTTCAGTCAGTGAATGGATAAACTGTGATACATCAGATAATGGAATAGTATTTGGTGCCAAAAAGAAATGAGCTATCAAACCTTGAAAAGACATGAAGAAACCTTAAATGCATGTTTCATATCTCTGAAAGGAGCCAAGAGAATGGACAAAGGTGCTGTCTCCCGGGAGAAGAGCGGGAGGACCAGTCAGAAGTGGGGAGGATACGTGTCACATGCTATGTGACCTTTATACTCTACAAGTTTTCCCTATTTGAAAAAATGGAATTAACAATAAAACACAGCTGTGATTAACTGTCTGGGTCCATCACTGCCTCTGAGAGGAGGGGGGGGGTGGTCTCAGCTGCGCACTGGGAAAGCAGGAGCCAAGGCCGCGCTTCACCTGCAGAGCCCAAGAAGGGAGGCCGAGGGTCGACCCACCTGGCTCTGCCACAGGACCAGGAGCCGCACCAACGAGCTTGCCGTACTTGTCTCCTCGTGACTGCAGATCAAAGTAGACGTTGCCTGTTTTATAAAGGTAATTATGAGTCACCATTTCTCAGTCTTAAATATCAGCATTTATAAAAGCTTAACAGCTAACAAGTAATTGGAATTTAAACATAGAACATGACATCTGGCCTTCATGTGGCCCCCATTACTGTATTTTAACATCAGAAGTAACACCACCAGCACTCTTTTTTAAAAGCATGTAACTGGACACATCACAAATGTCTGGACATAAAAGTGAAAACACGAGGGTGAGTTCTGTGTCAAATGTTGAGGCAATTCTTTTTAACAAGGAAAAGGAAAAGTGAGTGTTATCATTGGCCTGCATTCAGCTCTGGGCTTCATGTTACAGCCAATCAACAAAGAAACCCTTTCCTAACCAGATATCCTCCAAGACTCTTTTTTCCTTAGGTTACGAACATCTCCACACTCAAGCATTCCTGTGGCGTCCTTTCACAGAGATGCATGTGGTCCATGTTTTTAGACCGAGGGTGCAAGATGACCTTCGCCACGATGCCACTGCAGAGCCAGGACCAGCCAGCCCTCGCCACTTACAACTCTCAAGTACAAAGAGGCAGCGCAGGGAGGCGGTGTCAGAGCTGGGGCTCTGGCAAGAAGATGGCGCCGAGCTGCAGCAACTGCTCGGACACAGTGACCCCAGACGACTCGGTTTTGCCTGTCCCCTCAGAGTCCTTCCTCTGCACTCGGCACTTACTACAAGCTGGGACACACTGGGGAAAGTGGGAGAAGTACTTTGGGGTAAGTTAGAATGTAAACAACACTTGAAAATGCTTTAAAAGAGAAAGAAACCACTCCCTTTAATGTAAGAAACAGTTTCCCATACCTGTGTTTATGGTATCAATTTGCTGAACGAATTGTTTCTCCACAAATAGTTCAAAGATCAAATTACAACCAAGCTTTGTGAAACTGTCACAAAGTCCAAATTAGTGGAGTTTCAGTAAATTAAATGTACTTTAAATTAATTATATTTGTTATCATTATTAAACTTTTCCAATAAAGCACAGTAATAAATAATGTTTGTTCCTAAAGCATGTGTGGATGAGAATCTCTAAGGACCTCATGAACATGAATCAGTTCATCTGGGTTATGTATCTTATTTCAAGTTACACGGCAGCAGGAAAACAACTCCTGTATTCCTGGAGCCAATTCCAGTTCAGTCACCTAAGTCCTTTAAAACAAGTTTTTCTTGGAAACAAAATCTAAATATAGCAAGTAAGAGAAAGTAAAAGATTGCAAGTCCTTCCGCATGCATAAACTACTGAGAAAGGTGACATATGTTTCCAGGGACCAGAGGGCCCCTCACTTGTGTCTTAAGCTCTCAAGTAGGACCATGAAAGAAAGGTGTTTACAGTCCAATAATCCCTATAAATTGTCTCCATTACCATGCTTTGTACTTTGTTACTAACTTGCAACAAGCCTTGTGGTGCCTGAATAATCACAACCCTGGGCTAGGTACTCTAATGGGTTATTCACTAAGAGCAAAAGGTTTTTCTGGTCCAAGAACTGACAGAATGTGAATACATTAAGAGTAAGCTGAAGCTGTGACCAATCATATGCTGCTGTACAGATCTCAAAGCTGAGAGGGTGAGTTCACTTGCAGCTTTGGATAGTAACGAAAACTCCCTGGGAGAGAGAAAGCTTTGGTCAGGGTTTGCGGGAAGGCCAGGTTTAGATTTGGGAAGAATAACTGGAAAGGAGGAGGTTCAGCTGAAAACAGTGCCGCATCATTGAAGCAGCGAAGCACCAGGATGCCAGTCTTTCCCTGAGGCCACCAAATGAAAGGGAGCAGCTCCTACAGCAGCTAAGCTCCACCAGACGGAAGTGATCATGCAGATCCAAAAGACAGGGTTTTCCTTAAACAACTGGCCTGGTCAGTCTCTTCAACAAGTCCACAATGAGGGAACCAAGTGGGGACTGTCTTAAAGAGATGAAAGAGACACAACCATGTGCAGTGAGTGGCCTGAGTTAAATGAGGGTGAGGGAAGGTGGGAAACAACAGGGTAAATGTGACTATGCGGAGGACATGGGATGCCATCAGGCACCTGTCCAGGGTCTCAGGTCTGACAATGGCGATGTCTTTTATTCGGAGAGGTGTGTTGCAGTGTCAAGCGCCTGCAGTGTCATGGTGTCCACAGCTTTCTTTCACTGGTCCCTCAAACACAGCATGCCCATCCACGGAGATGACTGTCTGAGGGCCAGTCTTTAACACGGGAGCGGGCCTCCAGGGGCACTGCCATTGTCCCCAGCTTTTTGTTATGAAAAATTATAAACAAAGTTGAGAGAAGACTCAAAGAATACTTGCACAGCTACCATCTAAAGCCAACAAGTGTTAGGATTATGCCATATTGACCTTATCTAGACGAGCTCTCCAGATGGTCATCTCTTCCTTTGACTGTGGTAAATATTTTTTAAATGAATAGGTATAACCATTTTTTACAAAGACAATATCCGTAGGAAAACCTCACAATATTTTCACTGTAGGAATCACATTGAGAAAGACAGTAAATCATTCAGCACATTCTGACAACTTATAAATATGTGTCCAGTTTTTCAGTCCTATCAGTATTACTCAACAATCAGTTTTTATTACATAACTCCCACCTTTTGCGGTTGAATAAGCATGCCCATTAGCAATTATTCTTTCAATGAAAGAAATGATCTGAGGAATATTTTCAGTTACCCTCAAGTACACTGTGGGTGGGAGAACCTGAAAGAAAGAAAAAGAGAGATGGCTGTTTCCAAAGTTCAAAAGTGTAAGTCAGACGCAACTGCCTTCCATTGTTCAAGCTTCTTTCTTTATGGCAAGAAGAATCGACAACACCCTACTTTACCTTCAAGGCTGCCATATCTTGTTTAAAATCTTCTTCATAAAGATTGGCAAGAGCAGTAGGTGATATCTTCATCTGCAAAAAGATTAGGTGAGCCTATTAGGAAACCTGGAGTATTCACAGCAGAACCGCACAGAGGCACCACTGGCTCCCACGTGGGAGGGCTGGGCCACGTGGCCTCGTCGTGGCTTGGCCTCAGTTGGGCACGCCTGCTCACAGAAAAGGGCATTTGGTGGAACGTGATGAACAAACGAACTAACAAGGAAAATGGGGACAGACTTACAAGCGAAGAGCGGGACGACAGCTTGGAGGGGAGGTCGGGGGTGGACGGATGGAGCAAAAAGGAAAAAGGACTCATGGACAACAGTGTGGTGATTGCTGGGGGAGGAGGGGGTAAAGGGGACTAAATTGTAATGGAAAAAAATACAGTAAAGGTTAAATTTTTTAAAAAGATAGCTGAAGCTCCCCCCCCCCCCCCGCCTTCCCTGACACACAGGGCATTTAATTTTAGGTAGACAACTTATTCTAGTAGCTTAGCTAGTCAAAAAGGTTTGTTGATCCTGTTTTTTGGTTAGAGAGAAAAAAGAAATAAACAATATCATGATTTCCACTATATAACTCAAAACAAAAACTAAAACATACAAAAAAAGCTTCTGTTTTAACCCTGGCTGGGCAGCTCTGCTGGTTCGAGCATCATCCCAATATGTGCTCTGCCAAGGTTGCTGGTCCTATCCCCAGTCAGAGCACATACAGGAATCAAACAATGAATGCATAAATAAGTCGAACAACAAATCAATGTTTCTCTCTCTCTCTCTCCCTTCCTCTCTCTCTCTCTCAAAATCAATAAATTAAAAAAAAAATGGTTTTCCAAAAAACCTGTTTTTCTAGAACAGTGGCAAGCCAGATCAATCTATTTCACATAATAACCAGGAGATTGAGTTCCTGTTCTGTATCTTAGCCCTCAGGATGTAAAAGTAATCAAGTCAAAAATACATTACAGAGGAAATGTCTAAGTAACATCTGAAAGCCATACAGCACATGAACATAGCGATTGTGACGTGTGTTCAAGCCCACAGGGCCATGCTGGGCTCTGGGGATGGGCAATACCCTGCCACAAATGGACACTGAATTCTGAACATATGGGGGCATAATGGGGGCATGTACGTGGAGCCCCAGATCTAGAGGGGGCTGGCAGACAAAACTGACTTACAAAAGTCTTCCTTACTTTCTTGTGAAAAAACACTCCCAGGACAGGGGTATGACACACTGTGAAGCTGTAAAACTAAGCCCAGCTTCCTAATTGTTGAGCCTGTGAAGTGACCTGGGAGCCACTGGAACTCAACCAGCATCTGTAGCATCTGCTTCGTGCTGGGTCCTCCTCTTCCCTGCTCCTCCCCAACCTTGAGAAATAGAGCTCCCATGTTATGACGAAGAAATTTCAGCTCCAGAATATTAGAAACTTTCTCAAGGGAAACAATACCTTGAAATCACCATCTTCCTAGCTCGGGGCCCTAAAGTAGCAATCATCCTAGAAACTGTGACCAATGAACATTTACTGAAGAAAGAAATCTAGCGAACAAAGTGTTGCTGCCCCAGCGTCTTTTTGGCTGTGTGGTCTTGGGCAACATTAAACCTCTGTGCCTTAGGCTTTCTTTGCAACACGAAGATAATCCCCACTAATAATCCTCAGATTGCTATGAGGAGTCAGTGTGCAGAGAGAAAGTCAACGCTGTGAGTGGAAAAAAAACTACATTAATATCTCTGTTGAAGAGACAAAACACCTAGCACCCAGACATAGTTGGTGTTCAGTACATATTAGTCCTTTTCCTGTGGGATAGCTTTGTAGCAAAGCTGACCTCCTGAGAAAGAAATCAGTTTACTTACATATATCCGGAGGACAGAAGACCAAAAAACCAAAAAAGCTAAAAATTCAATATTATCTTTCACTTTAGAAACTTCAAATACCATGCAATTTTGGTAATGGTCAGCTTGCATTTAATTGCCTGCAGTTTTTATTTTCTGCATAGGAAACTCACTCCCAGGGAACATGAACGGCATGGAGGGTGCCCAGGACTGGCCTCCCTCCCAGAAGACAAACACTGCCCCCAGTTATCGCAGGAGCAAGACCATGGTCATACCCATATTTGCATCTTCTTCTTGAAATGTAGCACCTCCCACACTTGGCCTACACCCGGCCTCCTTCTGTAACAACAGTGTTCCAGTGCTGTCCACACAGAGCGCAATGAGCCACCACCTTCCTTCCAGAGGCCGTCGGCACTCCACCCCAGACGTTTCGTGAACTATTTATTCACCAGTCCTCTTCAATTATGCTCCCACCTTTTACTGAGACACGCATGGCTACACACACATCACTTCCCACAGGGGCAAATCCTACATGTAAAACCACAGAAAGTGTTTGCTAACTCCTGCCAGCTTCCTTCTGTGGAAGGTGTACCAATTTGAACCTGACCTGCAATGCACGCAGGTCTCTCTTTCCCACACCCTAACCCGCATGGTGCCAGCAAGCTTCCAGATTTAACCAACATGAAGGCTAAAAAATGCTTTCTCATTGTAATTTTATTGTAATTTGTACTTCTCTTATTTTTGAGTGAGCTTGAACATCTCACATGTTTACAAACTATTTGTATTAAATGATTCGTAATTACTCACACCCACCTATGTTTCTAGTGAGTTGTAGGTCTTTTCTTATTGATTTGTAGAAAGTATTTTTATATAAAAGAAAGTAACCTTTTATCTCTGATATGAATTTCAATTTTTTTTTTCAGTCTTTAAACTTTTTGGCATGTAGAAAATTTTATTTTAATAGTTAGCAATCTTTTCTATTTCTCAACCTTTTCCCACAAATGGCTTCTGGGTTTAAAAACAAATTTAGGAAAGCCTTCTCCAATATGAGGCTACAAAAAGTGCCCCAAGGTTTTTTAGTAATTTGTGGTTTCACTTCTTTTACATTAAATCTCTGATCTTCCTTGAATTTGGTTGGGAGGCATATATCCAACTTCGGTTATTTTTTTCCCCAGATGGTAACCCAACTGTCAATACTTTTCACTGAATAATTCATCTGTTCCCCACTGATCTGAAATATCATCTTTATTACAAAACAAATTTCCATTATTTACCTAGTTCTGGACTTTCTAGTGTGTTCCATTATCTGTCTATTCATGTATCTATCTTTACAGGAACATTTAATTTCACAATCTTCGCAGAGACAGAAAGCAGATCGGTGAATGTTCAGGGACAGGGTGGCAGGGAAGGCAGGAGGGAGAGGTGGCGAGGGACAGAGGAAACCCTTGGGGGCGACGGACGGAGATATTCACCATCTCAACACTGGCGGTGGGTTCCGAGGTGTGCAAGTGTTATCTTGCTGTACACCTCGTGTGCACTACATGCTGGCGATAGCGGGTCTGTTCTACCTCAATAAAGCTGTTCCCCGAAAAAAGGAAAAGAGGGTGTGAAAACAAGAAGTTGTCTATGGCTTTTAAAATACATTTTAATGTTTGGTAGGACTACTCCCTTTTCAATACTCTTCTTTTACAGGCTTTTCCTCGCTTTTCTTGTTTTTTTGCTCTCCCATCTGAACTTTAGAATCTATTTGTCTAGTTGGAGAAGGGGGGAGGATGGTACGGACACACACTGTTTTAAGTGACTTATCAAGTGTAACATGGCCTGAACAAGTAACACATGGGACTTCTCTAGCTCACATGGCACAACCCTAGAGGACAGGGTTCAGAAACGTCTATGAGTGACCATGAATTCGACGAGGGGTACCACCTGTTGCTGGCCTTGGGCGGGGCGGGGGAGAACCATATTCTAAAAGTAAAACATTTAAATTTAATTTTTAAGCAGCTGAACATAGCTGCTCTCTTTCACTTTCCAGAAAACAAACTACAGGAGGACACAGGTGCTGAAATGGAGTCCTCGTCCTTGTGCATTCGGATCATGGCCCAGCTCTCCCTTATCATCATACGCCATTTCAAGCCAGCTGCCTCCCTGGCAGGAGACCCTGCTGGTCGGTCTGTCAGCTCTCAGACTGAGTGTCCAGCCCTCCTCCTGGAAAGAAGGGCAATGGAGGCCGGTGTTTTGAAGCACAAAAATAATAACTTTGGCTTGAACTGCTTAAACATGTTCATCAGGATTTTTCTTAACACAAAGTGTGGCTGGGCAAATATCCCATGGCTCTTAATTCTTATTGCCAAAATCCTCTAGCAGTTTTTATCCCTTACAAACTATATAACTGCACCCAAAATTAAAGTCAAGGGAATGATTAAGAAAAGTATAATATTGTAATTTAAAATATTTTAAAAGCAAGTGTTGGAGCAGATGGCATGAAGGATATCGCCATCATTAAAAAAGCTCATATTAGATAATAAGAATAGCCTTTTTGCTAGATATTAAAAAACAAGCAGGTGTTTTCATAGCCATGTGTTTCAGATACATGGTTTACCATCTTAAAGTTACTTTTTTGAGAACAAAAAAAACCTATTCAATGCCATATTAGCATTTTGCCATGTAATAAATATGGAAATTTTCAGGTGTCAAAAATTAAGCACTCTTTATATTTAGGATCTTTAAACGCATTTTACCAAATTTTCATATTCTGAGTGTTATAGAAAAAAAATTTTAAAGTAACAATCAATGCCCCCTACTGGTGTCTGTGAAACCTTCTGAATAACTTCAGAAATGCAGTCATCCTTACTGCATTTACTGCTGACCCCTTTTTCCTGAAACCTGCCCCACCCTGGACTTCTGGCTCTTCCCCACTCTTGGGACCACCCACAGTCCTGCCTGCCCCCTCCTGGCACATCCCCCCAGTTCCTGTCTGTCACCCACCCACCCGCTTTCTCTCCCACTGGGGCTCCTCCCAGAGCCTGACCAGTCTCCAGCTTCCCACCAGCCACACTCCCGCGACTTGCAGGTCGACATCTGCCCCTCCAATCTTGAAGACTCTCAGCAGACCCCGAATGCCAAGGGCCAGGACACATCTGTGCTACTTCAGGTTCCAGCTGAGCGCGATGACAGATGAAACACTGACCTGCTCACCTTCCTTCTTAACAGACCTGCATTTCCAAATGCCACCTCTGCTACTGTGTTACTTCAAACTGCTCATTCCCTCACTCCATCAGAGAGCACTAATTTCTTTCTGTCATTTCCATCCCAAATCTAGCCAGGGAACCGTTGTCTCCTCCTGTGTGAAGGGTGATAATGCACCACCACTGGCAGGGTGCGGGGAAGTCAGCTCTCACAGACACAGAGCAGGCTCTCTTGCTTCCCACGGTCACCTCCCCTTCCAGATCTGCCCTTCACTCGCCCCTGTGGCCATGATAGCATGTCACAACCTCACCTCCAGGGTCTTAAGTGGCTGGACCAGGGCAGAGATATGACCTCAGGGACACCAAACACAGGTGGGGGATTTGGACATGGGGCAGAGACAGAACTGAATGTTGACGAAGGCTTAAACCAAACTGCTGTTGAGAACCAGGGATGCGGTGATGAACCCAAAATACTAGCACTGCCCAACCTTCACTTCTAGTCCTGCAGTGTCTTCTTTTTGACAGCAAACATGTGGTGTCTTTTCTAACACCAACCACTTCTCCAATTCTCTTGAGTCTAGCAGGGAGTCCTACAATTTAATGCTCTTCTGAAACCAACTTCTGGAGTTGGCACAGACCCTGCAAATTAAAGGATCGGTCCCAAAAGACTGCCCACACTGCAGACACCAGCTGCAAACGGTGGTCCCCAGGCCACTTGTATTTCTATCTAACGACCAAAAATCTAGGGGTTTGATAAAATGAGTCACACAACTCAAGAAAGCACTCTCCTTACTATTACCAGTTTATTATAAAGGACACAACTCAGGAGGGCCAGATGGACAAGATGCATGGGGCGAGGTATGGGGAAGGGGCGAGGCTCCCATACCCTGGCAGGATATGCCACCCCCAACCGCAACCCAGCACCTCCTTGTGTTCACCAGCTGTGAAGCTCCCACGCCTGGTGCTTCGGGGTTTTATGGAGACTTCATTACTTGGGAGAGTTGATTAAATCATTGTCCCCTGAAGATCAACTCTATCTCGGGCCACTCACCCTCCCCTCCCAGGAGGCAGGGGTAGAGGAATGAGGGTGGGAGTGAAAGTTTCCAGCTCTACTCATGGCTTGGACTTTCTGGCAACAGCCCCCCCTGCAACCATCCAGGGGCCCCAGACCCCAGGCTCCTCATTAACATACAGAAGACACTCCATCGCTCCAGAAATTCCATGGTATTAGGAACTCTGTGCCGGGAACCATGAACAAAGACCAAATATATATTTTTGTTATACCATAGCCCTGAGCTCACTTAACTTCTGATGTCTACATCCAGGTTGGTTTGGATTTCTTTAGGTACCTCACACTCACCCTTGCTCTCCTCTCAAAGTCTGCTGAGACATGCCCTCTCTCTGTGCATGGCTCCCGCTGACCCTTCCCAGTGTCCCCATCTCTAGTCATGCCCTGCCCACCCCGAGAGTGAGCCCCTTCCGCTGGACCAAATGGATCCTGCGCTAGAATATCCAAGAGGCTGCAGAAGGACACCCAATTCCTCAACACACCATCCAAGCCTGGGATGCCCCACTAGCTCTCCAGCGTCACCTGCAGGCCCCCCCGATATCCTCAAAACACTGGTTTGGTTGGTTTCCAGACAGAACACACTCCTTTATGCCCTTCCCTCTACCTAGAAGGTCCTTACCATTCTTATTCTTCATGTGTCAATCCCTTCCTAATGCTTAAGATCCTGTGTGGGCTACCCTCCTCAATTAAGTCATTTCTGAATTCCAGCGTAGCTAGGTAATCTTTGCATCCCTATATCAGGACTTATAAAATAAACCACATCACACACAGAACATCTGTCTGTAGGACTGTCTGCCCCAATGGCCACAAGCTCCAAAAGACCACGAACTGACTTCTTCACTTCTCTTTGCACAAAGCCAGGCACAGGTCTGACCCCGGATGTCCAATGCATGCTCAGGGCCAGGTCTGGAAATGCAAACTGAGTCTATTGCAAGGAACGTGATATAAAATGACTAAACTACCCAAATAAAACAGAAATAGGGACTCCATCTCTCTAAAATGATCCAGTCTTAGGGAGGGCGACAAAATTTATCAAACTGCTCATCCTTGAACCTAGTAGTTCCACTTGGAAAAAGTACTTAAGGAAACAACAAAAGATATTCATTGCAGCACCGTTTTTAATAGCTAGAAACAACACAAACAGTTGATGATGGGGGATTTGGGGGAATCGCTAAATACCCACCCATGGTGGAAGGCTGTCTAGTTACTGAAAAGGCAAATGAGTAGTAAATAGGAAAACATGGTTTTTACAAAATTAATTTGAGAGAAAATAGCAGAATATGAAAGTAAGGTAAGAGTCCAGATACAAAGATGGAAAATTATATGTCCATGTGATGAAATGTTATAAGGCTATTTTAAAATGTTTAAGGATATTTAAAAATATGAACAAACTCTCAAAATACAGTAAGTATAAAAGACAAACTATAAAATAATCCAAAGCATAAACTGGCTTTCTAAAAACAATGCTATATACATGTATATACATTTTGTAAAATTACAGTAATGTAAAGAACTCAATGTAGTTTTTTTGTAAATTAGATAATTTAATAATTATTTATAGCTCTTTAGAGATAATAGTTAAAGTTGCTGATTATAAAAAGCAGAAGAGGTGAAACTTTGAAAGTGGACTTTTAGAAGTATAACTATCCATATAACTGTTAATTTAATCCTTCATTAGAATTCCCCAACCAAAACTTACTTTAAATATCACAGGAGGTATAAGAGAAGTGTATTGTTCACTTAACAAATGAGAAAATTAAAACTCATGTGAGCTGAATTTCCCTAACCCAAAAGTGGCCTTTTGACTTTCTTCTGTAGAGAGAGGATAAGGAGCCCTGGCTGATGTGGCTCAGTGGATTGAATGCCGGCCTATGAACCATAGGGCCGGTGGTTCAATTCCCAGTCAGGGCACATGTCTGGGTTGTGGGCCAGGTCCCCAGTAGGGGGTGCTTGAGAAGAAACCACACACATATACATTTCTTTCCCTTTCTTTCTCCCTCCCTTCCCCTCTCTCTAAAAATAAATTTAAAAAATCTTTAAAAAAAAAAGAGGGAGTAAGGTATTTACCGCAGGAGCTGAGGAGCTAGGAAAAAGATTACAGATTCAAGTCAGGAGGCCCCCACAGAATGAGGCAATTCATTAAAGGCTTCAGGGACCAAAATCAAATATACCTGAACTTCCTTCACTATGACAAAAAGATCCCTCTGAGTACCTGTCAGAGTATACTCATTGGGACATGCATGGAGAGTAAGATGAGAAAAGTTCTTGTGAAACACAAATAAGAAAAACTGTCACGTAGAGGTCAGAACACTCATTAATCAACTTATCAATCATTATAATCTTCAATACTTACTTCATTGGCCCTTTTAATGATTTTATCATCCACGTCTGTAATTCCCATCACCATGATGATGTTGCATCCAAAAATCCTGGTTAGGATCCTTCGAATTATATCAAATCTAACATATGAACTAAAAGAAAGAAAAATGTTAGGATGTTTTTAAGACACTGAGTCATCATGGCAATAATTAAAAATGAGTGCCTTGCATTTCAACATGCTGCTGCCTAACTTCAAATACGGGATATAATCAATAGTTCAAGAGCAGCTAGAAAAAAGAAAAGAATTTATTGACTGGTCCCCACTGGTTCTCACAAAAGAAATAGACACAGGTGTTGCCTCTATTTCAGGATACATGTTAGCATTTTTAATTTTAGAGATATTGTTCAAATGAGTTTACATCTATTAAATTGTATAAAACTTTATTCATAATACAATCTCGCTAGGTAGTTAAAATACTGAGAGCATTTACCATTCTTCATGTTCTTCAATAACTATAATATTTCACTATGACAAAAGAGAAGTAAATAACAAATAATTACAAATCAAAACAAATACAATCCTATTAAACCTGTGTAAGATTACTAAGAAATGTGCACACTATTATAGAATATTAAAATACCAGCTTATTGGTAGACTACACTGGAGAAACGCAAACTTGTAAAACGTAACTTTCAAAATCCATTAAGATCCATTCAAAATCTCAAGAAGCTGGTTTCCCATAAAAGCAATATTAAAATTTAAGGTCCGCTAATCTCATGCTCATCTCCATTGTCCACATGGCCCCTCTAAATTTGAGTTCATAAAATCATTTTCCCTTGAAAATGAGCTTTGTAATTATATTCCTTAAACCTCCCACAGTCGCTCACCCCAAACATAGCTGAGGCCAAATCCCTCCATTCTAGTGCCAAAACTATCTCCGAAACTCTTGCCAAGATATTTCACCTTTTAATGCCTTGGGCTGCTTATTATATTGTAGATAGGGCAAAATTCAACTACCCCATAGGGTTGTTATACATACTCTTAGTGCAGCACAAATTCCAACAAGATGAACTATTATTACCTTCATTCATTTTTAGTAAGAAAAGATTTAAGAGAAAAAGTTAACAGTTGCCTAAAACAGCAATTTTCAACCAGCATGCCATAAAAACATTTAACACATGCAATGCCTGACTATTTAGTCAGGGGCACTGACCTCTTTTCCCTTAGACTGTCAAATAAAAAAAAATGACAACAGCCAACACACAATAGCCGTCTGGTGTGAATGACTGACACTTATACCTATTTTTTTTTTTTTTTTTTTGGTCAGATCGGCAAAAAATATACTTCTTGGTATGCTGCCGAATTTTAGTGATTAGTTTATGTGTGACATGAGATGAAAAAGGTGGAAAATAGCTGACATAAAACAGCGAAAACAAAAGTGAAGTCACATGTTTGGCCCAGAGGAGCTCGAGGGTTGCAACGCCCTAAGATACTGCAGGTGGGCTGCTCCCCCAAGGGCCACCCCACAGGAACCACAGGAGGCTGCACAGTAGAGGGGGCGGAGAAAGCGAACTCAGCCCATCTGCCTGGTTCATTAATTCCCCGCTAAGGGACCTGAGACTGTTCCATTGGCCCTCTGCACACAGTATCCCCATTTGTAATCTGGAGATAATAATAGCATTGCCATGAAGAATGGACACGAAGACCAGTGGAACAGAATTGAGAGCCCAGAAATAAACCCACATGTATGTGAGCAAATAAGTTTTGACAAAGAAGCCAAGAACATACAATGGAAAAAGAAAGCCTCTTCACACAAAAATTAACTCAAAATGAAAAAAAGAGCTAAATGTAAGACATGAAATAATAAAATACACAGAAGGAAACACTGGTACCAAACTTAAGCACCTTGGATATAGAGAGAATTTTATGAATTTAACCTCAAAAGCAAGAGAAGTAAAAGCAAAAATAAATGAATGGAACTATATCAAACTAAAAAGCTTCTGGACAGCAAATGAAACCATTATCAACAAAAAAGGGCAACCAACCAAATGGCAGATGATATTTGCAAACAACACCTCTGATAAGGGGTTAATATCCAAAATATATGAAGAAATCATATAACTCAACCACAAAAAAAACAAACAATCTAATTACAAATTGGACACTTCTCCTAGGAAGACATATAAATGGCCATCAGGTATATGAAAAGATGCTTAACTTCGCTAACTATTAAGGAAGTACAAATCAAAATCATAATGAGATACCATATCACATCTGTTAGAATAGCTATTATCAACAAGATAATAAGTAATAGAGAGGTTGTGGAGAAAAAGGAACCCCACACACATTGTTAACAGGAATGTAAATAGGTACAGCCACTTTGAAAAATAGCATGGAAGTTCTTCAAAAATTAAGAATAGAGTTACCATATGATCCAGCAATCCATCTTCTGGGTATCTATCTGAAAAATTTGAAAATATTTATTCTTAAAGATATATGTACCCCTATGTTCATTGCAGTATTGTTCACGGCGAACAGAACATGGAAACAACTAAAGTTGAAGTGTCCTTTGGTAGATAATTAGATAAAGAAGATGTGGTACGTATACACACACACATATATATGCAATGGAATACTACTCAGCCATCAGAAAAGATGAAATGCTGCCATTTGCGACAACATGGATGGATCTTGAAAATATCATGCTAAGCGAAGTAAGTCAAATGGTAAGTTAAGAACCATGATATCACTTATATGTGGAACATAAAACTAAAAGCAACAAATGAACAAACAAGACAAACAAGAAAATACCTCACAGACACAGACAACAGTAGGGCGGTTATCAGAGGGGAAGGCTGTGTGTGTGGGGGGGGGGGGGGGTGTAGTAAAGGGTAAAGGGGGTCAAACACATGGTGACAGAAGACTTGACTTTGAGTGAACACACAATGCAATATATTGATGATATATTATAGAACTGTACACCTGAAACCTGTGTAATTTTATTAACCAATGTCACCTCAATAAATTTAATAAAATAAAAAGTAATAATAATAGGCCTGCCACCTGGTGTTATTAGAATTATATTGGCTAGTGTTTGTAAAGCATTTGGAACAGTGTCTGGAACATAGCAAGTGCTATCTCAGCCTGTTAAGTATACATATTTTTTTAAATAGAGGCTGGTGTGGCTACGTGGGGAGGAAAGTGGAGTGACATGAACTTGGAGAGTTAGTAGCGACAGACATGTAGAATCACAGAGGTGTCCTTAGGATTCTGAACATCATCTTAAGAGCAGTGGAGCCATTCCTGACCATCCCTGCCCTCAAGACCTCCCAACGTTTTCAGAAATCTTGCAGTACTTAGGTTTTCTACCTCGAAGGAGTATCTTGAAGTGAATGACTCTTCTTGATGAATGACTTCTATCTCACTAGCAAAGCGTCCATAGGGGTAATCCTGGAATGGGGGTCAAGGAAAGGAGAGATGAAGAGGGACATCGAGGAGACTTGGGTGTTGGGAACGTTCTGTTTCTTCATCTGAAATTCAGGAACATTCATTCAGCTGTACACTTAAGATTTTACCTCTTTTCTTTATTTGTAAGTGCAAATACAAATTATAACTTAGAGGCTGGATTCGCTAGTTTAAAGTACAAGAAGAGACTCTCCCTACTTGCCCTGCCTTTCAGAACTTTTTCCTCAGTCCTTTTAAAATGTATGTAAATCTTTCTAATAATTATATAAATTTCTTTCAGCCTCACAACTCAGGGAAGTTTTAAGGGTCTGGAAGCCATCTCTTTAAAATGACGTCATCTGGGAAAAATAATGCTCTATTTCCCAATGGGGGGAAATGGGCCTAACTTATCACCGGATTACAAACTGCACACCCTGCCTAAACTAGTGAGTGGTATCCACTTAGCTCTATAGGAGAGCATGATTTCTTTCTGCCTTTGCAACCATTTTAGCAGGTTGCATGTAATTGGCATCCCGTATTGACTTAATACTCATAATAAAATTGTTTTCTTTCTCTTCTGCCTTTGAGTAGAGGTTTTTTCAGGTGGGAGATTATTGATTTTAATATTTCCCCAACATATTTTATACTTCAATAAAAAGGTAAAAATATGCTTTTTATAATTAATAGTAAGTTAGCCTAAGTAGAGGAAAAAAATGGTTCTTAGACCATTTATTTTATTGTAACAAAGCACAGACAAGTTCAGGTTTTGTGTGGGGTGATATATTTTTTTTCAAAAATGTGTAGTAAAGAGACGTAACTTTTACTTTTAGTCCCAAACTGAACAATAACAAGTTGAAATGATGTACAAGAGGACATACAAAATATTAGAAGCAGCAATTTTGACAAATGAGAAGGCTAGCACAGAGGTCATATGGTCCACCAGGTCTACCACAGCTCCAATACCTCCTCCATGTGTGGCTCCTGGAAGGTTACTTATTCTCAACAATTGTTGATCCCTCACCACACATCACACTTCGAGTACTGTGTTAAGCAGCATTCTCATAAAACTGTGAAGATTCAAAACGATGGAAACTCTTGGAGGACTTCCAGTCAAGATGGCAGCATAGGTAAACCCAGCTCGCCTCCTTGCACGACCACATCAAAATCACAACCAAACTGTAGAATGACCATCATTTAGAATTGTCAGAAATCAAGTTGAATGGACTTCTGAGAAACTACAGAATTAAAGAAATCACATCCAGCTAGACTGGTGAGGGGGGGTGGAGATGCAGAAGAGGCTGGTCCCACATCCACATGTGGTGGACAAAAATCTGGAAGGGATATCTTGGGAGCGAGGAGTCCAAGTCTAACACCAGGCCCCCCCAGCCCAGGGTTCCAGTGCCAGGAAGATAAGTCCCCACAACTTCTGGCTGCAAAAAAGAGAAGGTATTGAGTGGGTGGAAGAAACTACGGGGGCCCCAAGCAGCTCCTCTTAAAGAACCCACACATCAGACTCAATCATTCTGAGCTCTAGCACCGGGGTAGCAGCTTGAAAGGCACCAGTGCATACAGGGAGGAAATGAAGTGTCTGGCATCAAGGTGAAAGATTTCTCCCAGATAGAAAGGTGGGCAGAGGCCATTGTCCCTCTTCTGAACCCTCCCACAAGGAGCCACAGAGCAGGCAGGCAGGTGCCACATCTGGGGCCCCATCAACCTGGCTAACACTGTTTTTTTTACCCTTGAGATCCCCTGAGGCTCCATCCCACCCAACTTAAAAGCCTACCCAAGATGTTAACAGTGGCTTTTCCATATGAATGGCTGGTCTTGGCTCATGCTTCACAAATTCCCAAATCCTGTCAAACAAGCAACAGCCAGCCTCAGTGTGCTCAGAGACCCTGTACCTTTTGCTAAGTGACCGCAGACCTACCACTAGCAGCAGCCAGCCTAGATTCACAGCTTGGCTTCTCCTGGGAATTTCTAAGCCCAGCACAAGTAGCAGTCATCTCAGATTGCTTCATTGATCAGGCAGGGTGGTGCTTGGCAGAATACAGGTGGAGGCTGGCCTTGGCCTGCACCACTCGGGAAACCCCAGGGCCAACACACCAGTGGACAGCTACAGACCATGTCAGAGCACCACTACTCTGCCCCTGCACAGCTGATCATCTGTGGAGGTTGGTGGTCAGTGGTCACAGTTAGTCCTTGCAGATGACTGGCCTGGGTAAATCCCTCCCCTGGACCTGTCAACAGCAATCAAGGCTCAACCACAAAAGGAGAGTGTGCTCAGCCCACACAGAGGGTCCAACTCAAGTACCCAGCTTGAGTGATAGGGGAGGCTATGCCACTGGACCCTACAGGACACCTACTACAATAGGCCATGCTACCAAGACATGGAATCAAAGCAACTCTACCTAATACATTGAAACAGACACCGGGAGGCGGCCAAAATGAGGAAACCAGAAACATGGCCCAAATGAAAGAACAGATCAAAACTCCAGGAAAAGAACTGAACAAAATGAAGATAAGCAATCTATCATATGCAGAGTTCAAAACACTGGGTATAAGGATGCTCAAGGAACTTAGTGAGGACCTCAACAGCACAGAAAAGATCCAGTCAGAAATGAACAATACACTAATGGAAATAAAGAACAATTTACAAAGAAACAACAGTAGAATGGATGAAGCTAAGAATCAAAACAACAATTTGGAATATAAGGAAGAAAAAAATTTAAAAAATGAGGATAGTGTAAGCAGCTTCTGGGACAATTTCAAGAGGTCCAACATTCACATAACAGGGTTGCCAGAAGGAGAAGAAACAGAGCAAGAAATTGGGAATCTATTTGAAAGAATAATGAAAGAAAACTTCCCTAATTTGGTGAAGGAAATAGACATACAAGTCCAGGAAGCACAGAGAGTCCCAAACAAGATGGATGCAAAAAGGCTGACACCAAGACACATTATGATTAAAATGCCGAAGGTTAAAGATAAAGAGAGAATCTTAAAAGCAGCAATAGAAAAGCAGTTAATTACCATTGGGGAGTTCCCATAAGACTGTCAGCTAACTTCTAAAAAGAAACTTTGCAGGCTTGGAGGGATTTGCAAGAAATATTCAAAGTCATGAAAAGCAGGGGCCTACAACCAAGATTGCTCCACCCAGCAAAGCTATCATTTAGAGTTGAAGGGTAGATGAAGAGCTTCCCAGACAAAAAAAACTAAAGGAGTTCATCACCACCAAACCACTACTATATAAATGTTAAACAGGCTTATTTAAGAAAAAGAAGAAGATCAAAAGTATGAACAATACAATGGTAATAAACACATCTCTATTGACAATTGAATCTAAAAAACAAACTAATCAAACAAGCGGAACAGAGACAGAATCATGGATATGGAGAGCATTTTGATGGTTGCCAGATGAGAGTGGGTTTGGGGGAATGGGTGAAAAGGTGAGGGAATTAAGAAATACAGCCCTAGCTGGCGTGACTCAGTGGACTGAGCACTGGCCTGCAAACCAAAGGGTCGCTGTTTGAATTCCTAGTGCAGGGCACATGCCTGGGTTGCAGGCCAGGTCCCCAGCAGGGTGCACACAAAATGCAACCACACATTGTTGTTTATCTCCCTCTTTCTCCCTCTCTTCCTCTCTCTAAAAATAAATAAATAAATTCTTTAAAAAAAAAAAGAAATACTAATAGTTGGTTACAGAAGAGACACTGGGATGTAAAGTACATTATAGGTAACGGAGTAGCCAAAGAACCTACGTGCATGAACGTGAGCAAAGGTACAAGGATTGCCTTAGGGAGTAAGGTGGTGCTGGGTGGAGGGAGGCAAAGGGGTAAAAACTAAGACAACTGACCACCTGATTCCAGGGCTCCTGGAAAGGCCTCCTCTCACTGAACACATCAAAAAAACATCTACCATAATTCCAAAATGGGTCATTTTTACTGCTCCTCATTGCCTCCTGTGTTGCCTCACCCGTGAAATCGGTACAAGTGTTCAGGACTGTTACAAGAACCAAATGAGACTGTAACATGTATGTTTCCCACAATACCTGGAACATAGTAACTATTAAGCATATTTAAGTAGTCACTTGAGAGAGGAAAAAATTCAAATCCAGGACACTCACCAAGCGTGGCCAAGGTGTGCATGATCATAGACAGTTGGTCCACAGCTATACCTAGGAACAAAGTTAAAATCCATCATGTGAAACATATCTGCAAGAAAGACATCACTTTCTCAGATAGGTTTATCATATAACCATGTCTTTTTTTTTTTTTTAAAGTACTTCTGGGGAATGTACAGTCAGAAATCGATTACTTGACTCGCTAAATTTATATTAAAACCTGTCAATTCACTGTCACTAAACCAGTGTCTTCAGTGGTGCTGCCCATGTATTTTATTACTTACTAAATGATTTCCATCTGAGAACCCAACCCCACTTTCCACACAAAACGCTCAGTCCACCATCCTTCCCGCCCCACCTCCCCCAGCACAATCCCCGGGAGCTACCAGGAGGCGGCGTCAGCGCTGCTCACGATTAAGGGGTCCTTCCGCCGGGTGAGGCTGTTGTACACCTTGACGCCCGTATCATGGCCTGTAGGCTGCAGCCAGTCCTGCCCTCGAGCCCGCGACACCGCCCGCCCTGGGCCGGGCCCCAGGCCCAGTGGGGCCCGGAGAAGCGTAGTGACCAGACGAGCCCTGAACACCCGCAGCATGACAGGCCCGCAAGCCCGGCGGAACTAGGGAAGTCAGGCAGCTAGGGAAGTTCGCCACACCCACTTCTCGAGGGCCCGGCTCGGCCCCACCTACCGGGGGAAGAAATCGCTCAGGATAGGCACTGCCCACCCCGGAAGGCGATCAGCACAGCCCCCGCCCACCCCGAAGAAGACTGATAGGGCCACCGCCACCCCGGAATTAGGGCCCGCCCACTCCCGCCCATCCCGAAAAAAGAGCCGGCACTGCCAAGCCCATCCTAGAAGAGGACTTGGTTCAGCCACGCCTACCCCGGAACAGTAGTAGGGAAGCGGCGTCTCTGCCTGCATTAGGCCTGTCAGTGTCCTTGGGGAAGCAAGGGGAGGGGGTCCGAGTCTGAGTCGGGTTAGAGGGGCCGACCGGGGACGGGGTCGGAGCCCCAAGCGGCAGGAAAAGGTACTTCATCCCGCTCTAAGGAGGGCCACCTCTCATGGTGCTTACGCGTAGGAATCCCCGCCGGGCACAGGAGGCCGGCGGGCACAGGAGGTCTCTGCGAGGCGGAGTTCACGGTGCGGGGACCTGCCGGCGACTGCTCGCGTGCTCCCGAAGCACGTTCGCCCTTCAGTAAAGGCACACACCCAGAGTTTATTTACATCTGAACACACACCCTCTTTCTCAGCCTGCGAAGGAAAGACCATTCTAAGAAAGCACCCATTCATGAAGTACACGGTAGGAAATGTCTGCTTGAGATTCACTTTAAGGTTAAAAACATTCTGAATTGCGGTTTCTGTGGGGCTTTTATTTGTTTGTTTGTTTATTTTTAGAGAGAAGGGAAGTAAGGAGATAGGGGTCGGAGCACCAATCGTTTGCCCCTTGCACACCCCCAGCCGGAGACCTGGCCCGCAGTCTAGGCATGTGCACTGTCCAGAGTCCAACCGGGTTGGCCTTTCGGGTTACAGGCCGGGGCTCAATCCACCGAGCCCCACCAGTCAGGGTTCAGGGACTTTCTAAAGGCAGGCTCGCGTGAAGTTTCAAGTTATCTTGACAAACGTGCCCCTAATATCTTGCAAAACAATGTTTCAAAACAAACCTTTGCTTTTGACATCCTCAAAAGAGCACAGAGATTCCTCTGTTCTTTGGGTTTGTTTTGTTCTTCGAAAGGCAAGTAATTAAGTAGAGACAAACCAGTATGTTCCTAGAACACTTAAAAAAATTTTTTTTGAGACCCTGGAGTCCAACTCTGCAATTCTGTTTCAAGCTGAACTGTAGCCTAATATAAACTATAATATGCGTAACACTAAAATGTTAGACCTTGTTGTTGAGAATTACGAGACCTCAACACCAATGCTTAGCCATGTTCTCTGAATATTCAAAAGTTCTTTACTGCCTTCATACTTATCTTGATGTTATTTTGTAATTGTCTCTTGTTCTAGTACAATGTGCATATTTTTCCTCCTTGAGTGCTTTAGATTGTAAATTCTTTTGAATCTTACACTGTACCCAGCACTAAATTCAGAAGAGTGGCTAAAATAATATCTGATGAAATCCACCTGTTGTGCAGGTGGGAAGAAATTTGGGTGGTAAAATATCGGAGATTTTTTATATCTGATAGAGGAGGCTGTAATCCAGGTGTTAGGTGTGACAGTGAAATAAGAAAATGAACAAAAGGCTTAATTGTAAACTGTGAGAACACACAGAATTCAAGCAAAAAGTTAGAAGTTTTGAAGACATTTAGTAACATTAAAGACCAAATCGTGCACATGAGTTTGGATAGGTGCAATGTTTGAATTGGCCATAGAAATCATGACATTTAAATTAACAGTGGTATCTTCTGTTTTCAGAAAACTGGTCATGTAATGTGTTCAGCCGTTGACTCGCAGCAATTCTACCTTTTAAGTCTTTTGGGAATCATCAAAGCAATGATAAACATAACTCATTATTTAATGATTGTTAAAAATATTATTCCTTTTGCAAGTAGAATATTAAGGTAAAGTAAAAGTGACCAAGAAGATTATGTAACAGAAAAAAGAGAATCTAATTTGAAGTCACCCCTCCTTAGCCTAGGTCAGAACAAGGAAGTATATTAAAATGAATGATTCCAAAATATCATGAATGCCATTTCTTAATCTTTAATGACAACAACAAAAAATGTAGTTCTCAGTATTACATTTTCTTTCAAGGCAAAATCTTGTAAATCCAGACTAGAAGAGATAAGGACATTGTTTAGGTCATTTCAAGTTTGAAATGAAAGTGTTGATTTATTTAAGCACCTCAAAACATAAATAACTGTATAATCATCTCTTATCTTTTAATCCCTTAGGTCTGAGTGTATTCAGTTAAACTGGAAATATAATTTTAGAAAAAAAGATTATCTATTTTTGCAATGCACTCCAAAGAGCAAAACTGAAACGTGCAAGATTCTTCAATGAATCTTCAAAATTAAACATGTTCCCTTAGTGATATATTTCAAATGCATGATCGCAGTTCACTGTTTTAGCTATTGGTCTTCTAACCTTGTTGAGAAGACTGTGAAGTCATTGGTACATATTTTAGGAACTTTGTAAAGCTAATAATAAAATACTTTCTACTTCTTATCCAAAGGGTAAATTAAATGTCGTATAGAATATAAGCTCCTTATTCTCTACTGTACCCCTAGGGCATAGAACAGTAGCTAGAATATGGTAGGCACTCATTAAGTATTTCCTGTTGAATAAGATGTCTTTGTATTTTAAGTGTCTGTAAAGTCCATGAAACAGGAGAGGAATCATTATTCAGATAGCACTGTGATTTTTAGAAAAGATAACATCATCCCAACTCCAGCTTATCGTTGGATGGGGTAAAGGATTTCTAATCTTTAAATTCAGATAAACACTACAACTCATTCAAGAGCCAGTGACTGCAAGAATTGGAAGAACCTCCATTTTTCTTGCTATTGTACTTTAAAACTGCTTATATTCTCTTAGAGGAATATGTATAGTTTTTCTTATTCAACTTTGTACTCTTATTCCATGTAACATCTCTTTTTCCACATAATGTCATAGTATTAGTCCTTTGTGCTAACTAGTGGCCAATAAATTTTATTGTGTGAAATGACAATTTTTCTTATGATGAGCTTTTAACTGGGCCAAGTCTGGGAGGCGTGAATCTCTAAGTGAAATAACAGCCATTTTCCCAAATATCAAAGCGAACATCCTCCTTATGTGGGGGTTGCATGAAGGAGTGTAAGAAAGAGCAAAGAACAAACCCCTTTACTTCAAAGAGTAAATATTATTCGTTTGCCACCGTCGTAACGTTCCAATGTGAACTATCCATTTCGAAAGACAAAATAGCTCAATTTTAGTCTCATTTGTTGTAGTGATATCCAAATCACAACATGCCCTGCAGGTCGCTGGGAAGAGCATCACTGCGGATAGTAATGTTTTTATAAAAATTAGATTGGTCCGAAATATTACTGGATTACATATAGTAATTTTAAAAATCCCCGAAGGTCTTGATTGTCACATTGTTTGGTTGCGAACACCCCGAATCTCAATACCAGAACTGTGCCCGTTAGAACTGCAATGTAATTATTTTGTCTACATGATGTGCCCTATATGGCAATGGAGCAGACCCGGAGAAAAGAGTGAATCCCTCTGAATTAATAAAAAGAGAAAAACGGAGCACTGCCCTAGCACAGAGCTGGTAGAGACGTCACAAGGCTGGAGGGTCCAGCTAATTTGCAGGGCTACGGACAACCAGACAACCCGCCCACCTTGGAGAAAGACACAACGCGCAGACTGCAGAGGAGAGCGGGAGGGACGCAGAGGCAGTCGCGCCGAGCTAGCGCGGTCAGGAAGGACGCTCGGCAGCGCAGGCCGAGGCCCAGCGGACAAAGGTGGAGTGGCCACGCCCACAAGGCGGGATGTCTGATGGAGAAGGCTGGCCTTCGCGCCCGCGCGTCGTCCAGGCAACCGGATCCTCTGTGCGGGTGCTTTTAAGGAAGCCCCAAATCCGGGAGTTTGTGGTGGGAAGAGGAACCATTGGGGAGAGGAGGGGAGGGGCCGAGACAACACAGAGAGAGGCAGCAGAGTGCCGGCGACCGGACTCCTGGTCCGCCCAGGTTTAGGTAGCCTTCGAAGTGAGGGAGCGGAGTTTGAGAGCAGACTCCGGAGCCCAGTCGGGAAGGGATCGGGATTGCCCATCCTCTGCCGGGACCCGGCCCGGAAGCAGCTCCCCTCGCGGGCCCCTTTGTCTCTTAGCCGCTCGGCGCTGGGCTCCGGCCGGCGACACAAAGGGAGGGCGGTGAGGACCGCGCAGGCGCGTGAGCCGCCGAGATTGCTGGGAGTGGTGGTCCCGCCGCCGAATTGTAGGTGTCCCGCGCGGGCCGGCTGCTGCCCAGGCCGTAATGCGCATGAGCCACCACTTCCGCTCTGCTCGGCCCGGCCTCTGTCTCCGCCCGGCCTCTGTCTCCACCCCTCCGCAGGACGCGGGTTTCTAGTACTGTATAGTAGTTAAGAGCCCTAGAGGAGTTATTCCACCTCGTCCCGCCTTCTCTTTATCTTGATTGGGCCATTGAGATGAAGACCGCGCTCGGACTGCCTCTGCGTCTCCCGCTCCAGTCTGTTCCGAGATGTGACTTAAATCTCCGCTGCGCGGGTTGTCTCTGGTTGTCCCGTAGCCCTCACTGGCTGGACCCCTCCCTTCTAGCTCTGTGCAGGGCAGTGCTCCTTTTTCCTCTTTTTATTAATTCGGGAGTTCACTCTTTTCTCCGGGTCTCTCCGTCCACTATAAGGGCACATCATGTAGACAAGATAGTTACATTGCAGTTCTAACGAGGCTCTGTGTATTGAGATTCGGGTTGTTCCACCGATCAATGTGACAATTTAAGACCTTCGGGAGATTTTTAAAATTTATGTAGTAATATTTCGGACAATCTAATTTTTATAAAAACATTACTATCCGCAGTGATGCTAACTTCCCAGCGACCTGCAGAAGGCATGTTGTATTTGGATATCACTTCAACAAATGAGACTAAAGGAAGCTGTTTCTTTCCGAAATGGATAGTTC